CCATAGGCCGTAATTTGAGGAGCCATGCACTATAGTATCAGTGTTTATATCCCAACTCTTAACCCATGTAGCTTCTGATAAAGGGTATCCTTTCCAATGAACCAGATATTGTAATCTACCTCTATGTAGTCTATAATCCTTTTTTTTTTTACTTCATAATGGGTTTCACCCTGTACAACAATTGGTTTGGGAGGAGCTGCTTCTGCGGTATTAAGCTTGAACTGATGTGTTTTTGGTGTTTTCCCAACCCTTCTTTAATGGCTCCTCCATTCAGCTAGGATCATGGAAGAGGGTTGTTCTCTTGGCAGTTCAAACATGGGGACAAACTCCATGTTGGTGGTGATCTAGAAAGGGGTCAGTCCCGTGCTGCTGTGCACAGCATTGTTGTAAGCCACTTCCGTGAAAGGTAGTAGGTCTGTCCAGTTCTTTTGCTGGTAATCCACGTAAAATTTGATGTATTGTTCCATCATTGCATTGGCATGTTCCGTGGCGCCGTTCGTACTTGGATGAAAAGCCGAGCAAAGTCCTTGGGATGATCCAATGGACCCCAGGAACTCTCTCCAAAATTTGCAGTGAATTGGACTCTCCTGTCTGAAATCACTCATTGTGGCACTCCGTGTAGCCAGTAGATCTGTTTGATTAACATCTTGGCCAGCTTTTTGGCTGATAGCAGTCCTGAACAAGCAGTAAAGTGGGTTTGCTTAGAGAACAGATCAATGACAATCCAGATCACGGTGTTTCCCCTACTCTCTGGGAGTTTTACTATAAAGTCCATGGCAATATCTTCCCAGTTTTGGCTGAGCTCAGCTACTAGTTGGAGCAGCCCAGGAGGTTTCCTTGGTCTCATGTTTATAGTAGCACAAGTAGCGCAACTCTTCATGTAGTCTTCCACATCTGTCTTCATCTTTGGCCACCAAAAATGCCTCTGAGCCAGGTGGAGAGTCTTTAGGAATCCAAAGTGGCCGGCCAGCTGCGAATCATGGCTACATTGTAGGACTTGCAGTTTCAAGCCCGCTGGGGACATAGAGCTTGGATCCTTTCCACGCTAGTCCTTCTCTCATGGTTAAAATCTCTTGAATCTCAGCAAACCATTGATCTGTTAGAAATGCCGCTTTTAGTTCCGCTGTCAGTTTCTCCTCTGAGGGCATGTCTCTGCATCTGGCCTGGCCCCTGGTAATGGCTTGCGCCACACTTTGCGGGGTGGGAATGATGGTGTGGATTATTTTTTCTCGCTGGCTATCGAATTGGGGTTTCCTTGATAGTGCATTGGCCAACAGGTTCTTTCCCCCTGGGATGTATTTGAGCTCAAAATTAAATCGTCGAAAGTATTGTGCCCAGTGGTCTTGTTTGAGGGAAAGTTCCCGGGGCATTTTTAAGGCTTTGAGGTTCTTATGGTCAGTCCAGACCTCAAAAGGCACCTTGGCTCCTTTTAGGAAGTGTCTCCAAGAGAGGAGCGCCCAGCAAACTCTGAAGGCTTCTTTCTCCCAAATTGCCCATTGCCGTTCAATGTCTAAAAAGATTTGCCAACACTGGGATAGGTGTTCTCCACGCACATAGCATTAATTCCGTGAAAATCCACACAAATCCTCATTCCCCCCCCCCCATCTTCTCTTTAAATAGCACAGGGCCTGCTACTGTGGCATTTGCCAGTTGAATGAAACCCCTGGCTAGATTGGCATCAATGTATTCCTTCAGTTTGGCCATTTCACTTTGGGTCATAGAATAGATCTTTGGTTTTGGAAGTTTAGCTCCTGGCTTGAACTGGATCACGCAGTCAGTTGGGTGATGAGCAGGGAGGACATTGTAGTCTTCCTCACTAAACATGTTGGCCAGGTCCTGGTACTCTCTGGGGACCTGGGGCTTTTCATCTGTTGGCAGCTGTTTGGTGGTAAGGGGCTGATGCCTATCTTTATTTTATGGTAGCCGTCTTCCCACGTGATGGTTGGGCCCCACTTGTCTAGCAAGCATGTCCCAATATGACCGATTCAGTTATCTTGGGGGCTACTACAAATCAGATGAGCTCTTGGTTACATCCCATTTCCAGTCTAATGAGTTTGGTGGCTAGCAGGGTCCCATCTACTTGCTCGAAGCGTATGGGGTGAACTAGGGACGCCATCTTTGTTCCTAGCTGCTTGATGATCGGGAGACTGATCAGACACCTGGTGCAACTGGTGTCTATCATGGCCTCAACGTTACCCTGTTCCTCGGTTTCTGGCACTACTATGACTTTGGCAGCCAAGGGGCAAATGGCTTCACTTACCATTGGGTTGTCTTCACCGCTGCTTCTGCTGGCGGCCCTGGGAGGAGGGTCTCTGGCTGGAGGTTTCTCTCCTTCATCTGTGGAAGGAGGAATCGCCTTCCCCATGTTTCTGAGGGAGGCCGGGGCTGAAGAACCGGGGTGGGAGTTGGCACTCAGATGCCTGGTGTGCCAGTTGGCCATATCTGAAGCACTTTACCATTGTTGCCCGCTTGGAAGGTGGCAGCTGTGCTGGCTTCGCCAGGGCTCAGTGCCATAGGACTCTCCTGGGCAGTATCTCCTGAATGGGCTTCAGATGGGGATTGATTTCTCGATCCATTGTCACAACTATAGTATACCAATCCTGCAGTCAGTCTGGCACCCCCCTGATGTCACAAGCCTTTCTAAGTTCTGGGTCTGTGGCTTCCTTAAAATAATGAACGAGGAGTGATTCAGGCCAGTGCCTAAGTTTCCCAGCTATTCTCCAGAACTCCCAGACAAACTCTTTAGGGGAGCAGCCTGCCTGCTTCATAGTCTTGATTTGTGTCTCAGTCTCCTGCCTACCGTCTGTGTCCCCAAATCTGCCCCAGAGCAATTGGATGAAAATCAGCATCGGCAGCACCCTCATCGTATAGCTGGCCGGTCCATAATGCCTCTTCTCCTTCGTTTATCCCATCACCGATGGCTGAGATCAGGTCGTGGGCAGTTTGGTACTGGTCTCCATAATGGTCGATGTAAGCCCAGTGTTAGGTTTCAAATAATGCATCCATCATAAAATGAACTCCGAGACATTCCATTTCCTCAAAGAACAAATTTATTTAGATACACCATTTTGGCACTAACTAGCGGAAAGCCAGTACTGAAAGTTCCTGGGCTTTCCATGTGACTACAAATAGGATTTTCTCAATTTTTCAAAACAATGTCAGATTGTCCAACTGGGATGAGAATTGGTTGCTTGGCGACTTCCTCTGACCAGCCAGCT